CAACTGGACCCCAAGACAACTGGACCCCAGACAATTGGACCCCGAGACAACTGGACCCCAGTCAACTGGACCCCCGTATACGTGACGGGGTTAACTAGTGACGGCACTGACGGGACGAGGTTGTCTAGATCTGTAAATAGATCGATTCATTACTGTTCCACGCAACGAACAGCAGTGCACCGCCATCTTGGACGATACCATTCATAGCATCGGTGTAGTAGCCATAAGTTGACAACGCTAACGCATGCATAATAAACATTATTATATTTTCCAGGTTTCCGAAGAAGAGACATTTTATGAACACATTGTTTGAAGTTTGTTTAAGAATTAGCAATGATTCGTACATATCACGGGCCATTTATATGTACCTGTAAACAAATACGGGTTATATCTGTGTCTGTACTTGACAACAATAAACTCGTACAGTGTATCTCTTTGTACTTGAGCACAGGAAACTCAAAGTACATACAGTGTGTCTCTTTGTCTGTACTTGACTACAATAAACTCGTACAGTGTATCTCTTTGTTTGTACTCGAAACTCAAAGCAGTGTGTCTCTTTGTCTGTACTTGACTTACAATAAACTCGTACAGTGTATTTCTCGAAGTACGTACCGGTTATATATATTTGTACTTGAGCACAGGAAACTCGAAGTACGTACCGGTTATATCTCTGTCTGTAAGAGAGTAAACTCTAAGTACAGTGTATCTCTTTGTTTGTACTCAAAACTCAAAGCAGTGCAGCACTAAGGACGGACTAATGGATAACAGCAATAAACATTCTTCAAATAGGTGTTACCGCAACACCTGTCTGGTGACGGCAATTAACAGTCTTCAAAGAGGTGGTACCGATATGCAATTTCACGATTAACACAAGTGTTCCAAATTCAAATACATGTAGTTAAACCTAACTTGAACTGAGTACATGAAATTATAAAGCAAAGATCTGTCTCGCGTTCCTCAAAAGTTGTAGTAATTTGGCAAGTACGAATTGCCAAATGCAGTGAAAACATATATCAGCTTTGTTGATACGAGGTCACTATTTAATAAATAAAAGTTCTATTTGCCCGATCAAATATTTTTCGAGTTTAAGGAAATTAATCCGTTTTCACTGTAATAATGTATAAGCACAGTTGAACTAACACATATTTGTGTAACTTTCAACTGCCTGTTGTACAAGTTAACTATAGATTGTTACTAGATTACTATAATTGCAGCATGTAGTATGTCGGTAAAACCTACTTACAAAGATACAATGTCGTAACCTCAATGTGCGAAGTGCACTCTATGCTTGTTATTAGCTTGTTATTAGTCTGAGTTCAGTACTTAACTGCTCACGCTATTATTATGTATCGCTCTGCCACTAGTATATCATTTGCAATTCATTCGAGATGGCCAGTTCCAGACCCGTACCCGCTGTTGCTTTGGAAGATGTGGACAAGTGTGTTACCTGTAAGAAAGTCGTGTCGATTAGACAACATGCACTTTCTTGTGACAACTGTTTGAGGTGGCAGCATAGGCTATGTAACTCAGGGGTGAGTCACGCACAGTATCGGAGTCTAGTGAGAGGTGAATTAGAAGATTTCAGCTGGCTATGTTCCAATTGTCAAGACAACGCCGATGTCGCCATGGATACTGAACCAGCACCGGAACCGGAGAATGGGTCATTCAACGTCAGTCGTTCGTTTAGAGAAGTCTCTGAAGTTTTAGAGGACACACTTTCTGATGGCGAAATCCCGGACCCAATTCCAAGAATCGGTGAGCCGGATGAGACTACGTACGAGATCATATTGGGTGCTACGCAGAGAGGTAAACCCATTCTTGTGGACAATCATGGCTACACATATACAGCGAAAAGTACAGGTCGTGATTCATTCCAAACAACGTGGCGATGCGGTCTACGAACGAACAAGAACATCAGATGTACGGCATCAGTCATCGAAAACAACGGTGTTTTTGTTGAGGGATTACTGGGTCATTCCCACCCTGCTAAACTCGGCACAGCTACGAAGATAAAAACAACGATGGAGGTGAAGAAAAGAGCCAAAGAAGATATATTTCAGTCAGCAGCAACTATCGTCGAAGAGTTATTAATTAACAACGAGGATGAAGGGGCCAACAACCAGTTAGTACCGGCTAATTTGATACGGAACGCTGACAGACAACGCCAGAGTATGCGCCCAGAAGAGCCGACCGATTTAACTTTTGAAATCGCAACGGACAGTATACCGGACAGCGCTCGTCATTTATTATTTTATACGCCGCAACAACTGGACATTTTATCAAAATCAAGAACATGGTACATTGACGCAACATTTAAAATAGTGCATCGACCTTTTTATCAACTGTTTTCCATCCATTCATTCGTGAAAGGTGAAAACGGTGATATTAAACAGGTTCCACTATTTTTTTGTTTGATGTCACGGCGAGAAAAGAAAGACTACAAGAAAATCCTGAAGATAGCGAAGAGGGCAGTTCCTGGGCTTAAATTAGAACGTGTTATTGTAGACTTTGAAGCTGCTATATGGAAAGCCATATACAGTGTTTTTCCCGATGTAGCAATCCAGGGGTGTTCATTTCATTGGACCCAAGCTGTGTGGCGAAAAGGTTCAACACCTCGGTCTTCAAGTACCGTATATGGAAAATGGCCCCGTCCATGAGTATATACGGGAATTGATGGCATTACCATTCTTACCAGAAGAGCACATCGAAGCCAGTTTTAATATATTAGCAGAGAAGGCGACCCCGGGACTTCAAGATTTATTAGACTATATCAGATCAACATGGTTAGACAGCAGCGTATGGCCCCCATCAACATGGAGTGTATACAACAAGAGTACGTACTAATAACGACGTTGAGGGCTGGCACAGGCGTATTAATGCAAAGGCTGGACGTTCACATCTGCAGTTGTACGTGCTTATCCCGTTTATGTATAGAGAAGCAAGATTGGTTTCGATTCAAGTGAGATTGATGAAGGAAGGAAAACTGAGAAGATATCAGCGAAAACAGTACAAGCGGATCCAGGGTAAATTATTTAATCTATGGGAGAAGTATGAGCAGAGAGAAATATCTACATCAAAATTACTACGCGCATGTAGTACAATCAATGGTCCAGGTCTGTAGGTATTAGCCAATTCTGTAGGTGTCAACCAAACCAAACGGCTCTTTTCAGGGCCACCACATCCTTCAAAAAGAGATATACCGTACCAAAACAAACTAACTGCAGAACAACTAATGAGGTAAACAACGCGTACACAATGGGGAAAAGTGTTTAATTATATTGCAGCAACATTAAAACAAACTCCATTCTTCCAACTATTCTGAAAAAAGAAAACAGATAACGATTATTAACGATCAAGCTAACAATGATTACCCCCCCCCCCCCTTACAAAGAAGAGGGTGGTATTGCCCAAACATGGCGACGCATGTGAACGGTAATGAACAATGGAGTACATTTCCAATGAAGTAGCTATTCGCACGTAATGGCGATCAGTGGTACAACTCGCTCAGATCGGTTTAGGGTTACCGAGATGTGTTAAATCAGATCCATTTATTTATCAAAATCATGATAAACGGCACAGATGTAGACAACTCGTTCCGTCACGTATGGGGAGGTCCAGTTGACTGGGGTCCAGTTGTCTCGGGGTCCAGTTGTCTCGGGGTCCAGTTGTCTAGAAACCGTTGGAAATCTGTTGATCTATCGTTTGGCTTCACCATCTACGTAGTTTCTGAGGTACGTGAATTTTTGGATATCGGATATACGAGGGTCGTTGTGGACAGCGGCTTTGAAATTGTCAATGAATTCGGCCCAAGTGAGTAGATCGCCGTGAAAAGTGGGCATTTCTAAATGCGGAAGACGAACTGACTTGTAGTGGGTTTGTTGATCCGGTTGTAGGGCGGCCATGTTGTGATCGAGGGATGCTTGTTGGATGACTGGTTGTTGAAATCGAATAGTCTGGAATTCTTCGACAAACATCGAAAGTCGAGCGAAGCGGGCGAGTATTTCGACTTCATATGACTCAGTCTCGGTAAATTCGGCGTGGTCTTCATCGTAATGATCGATGACTTGTTGGTCCGCGTTGACTAGCGCTGATAGCCGGTTGTCGACAGCTAATTTCCGTGCGAGTATTTCCCGGTACGCGGCGTTTTTGTCATTGGCATCGGGGTACTGCGTGATTAGCTCTTCAATCGGTGTGAGGACGGCTTGTAGTTGTGCCCTTGCTTTGTTCCTCCGTTGAATTAGTTGCGTTGCTCTTGGGATAGCAGAGATCCACATGTGCGACCGCAACGATCCACCATTTTAAATTTCGTGATAACGAATGCATTG